GTAGCATGGGGTGTTAGGGGAGCGCACACAGCCACAGGATAGGGCTGTATTTAAGGAAAGCGTCCCGAAGGAGCTAAGACTTGGACAGAGGCCTGGAAGGTGGCTCGGCATTGCGAGGCAAAGAGAACAGAGAAAGGGCTCTCGGCACCATGCGGTATCTCTTCTCACAGTTTCAGATGCCAGGCGGGAGCCAGGTCAGATCGTGTTGGGTTGAAGAATGAACAGGAAGTGAGAAGACCGACAACGCCTAGGGCAGGGGTCTGAGTTGGATGGTCTTAGTGTCCTCTGTGCCTTGCACAGTCTCTGGCACCCGTGTTTGTGGCATTGGTTTTGGACAGAAGAGAGACCCCACCTCTGAGATAAGATGAATATGTGAGCAGGGGCTACGTTCAGACTGCTGTGCTCCTGGTCCATGCTGAGGAGCCTCCTGTGAGCAGCCGCCCCCTTCACCTGTGTGCCTTCATGGCTGTGCAAGGAGGCCAAGTGCATCCCACCAGCCAGAAAAGTCCTCAGCACTCATCGGTTAGCCTTTTATGTTTCATTCTAGTCTATTTTTTAGTTGAGTATATGATACTTGTATCTTAACATTATTAAAATATTTTCAAGACGGTTCTAGAAGTGACATCACCATGGCCGCCCAAAGAAAACCCAAGTTCAGTTCAAACTTGTATTGGTTGGTGCCGGTGGGACTGGGACAATGACCTGGGTGAAACATCACCTGGCGGGTGAATCTGAGAAGAAGTACGTAGCCACCCTGGGTACGGAGGTGCACTCCCTCGTGTGCCACACCGACAAAGGGAACACGGCCGGCCCGGGGAAGTTCAGGGGACTGCGAGACGGCGGTGACATCCAAGCCCAGCGTGCCATTACAATGTTTGAAGTAACTTCGAGAGTTACTGAGAAGAATGTGCCTAACTGGCATCGCCACCTGGTGCGAGTGTGTGAGAACATCCCCATCGTGTTGTGTGGCAACAAAGTGGACATCGAGGACAGGAAAGTGAAGGCAAAACCAATGGTCTCCACTGAAAGGAGAATCTCCGGGACTACGACATTTCTGCCAGGAGGAGCGGCAGCTTTGGAAAGCCCCTCCTCTGGCTTGCTGGAAGGCGAATCGGAGACCTTCGCTTGGAGTTTGTTGCCGTGCCTGCTCTTGCCCCTCCAGAGGTGGCCGTGGTCCCAGCACTGGCAGCGCGGTGTGAGCACGATCTAGAGGTTGCTCAGGCCACCGCGCTCCCGGACGAAGATGACGACCTGTGAGAGGGAAGCTGGAGCCCCGAGTCAGAAGTCTAGTTTTATAGGCAACTGTCCTGTGATGCCCCTTTATTATATAGCGAAGCAGAACCTGTGCTGGATCTTCAGGAAGCCGAAAGAGAGGAGTGGGCTTCCGGGTGAATGTGGCAGTTACAAAATACTTTTTCACTCTTTGGACCTGCGTGTTTAGCTATATTGGAACGCAGTTGTTTCCTTATAAAAATGCTGCAGTCTCATCACAATACTCAGTGGTGAAACCTTGTTTGTTACTGTCATTCCCGTTCCTTTTCGTTTAGAATCAAAATAAAGTTGTATTTCAAATATCTAAAAAATATATATATTTTTTTCATAAATATCTACTAGTAAAGTGGCTACATAATCTCTTATTTGGATTGGATGTCTATTTGAACATTTCTTTGAGCATTTAGTTTAAAAACATTTTTCTTTTTCTTTTATTTTAAAAATAATTTTAGACTTAAAAAAAGTTGCAAAAATATTACAAAGAACTCCCACGTATCATACCTTCAGCTAGTTTATGGTAGTGTCTCTCAGAGTTCCCCGTTGTAAAGTTAACTTTTTCCCTCTCTGTAATTAATGAGTGTCTTGTGGGGAGATACTTTAAGACTGTACTGTATACCATCCCATTTCTCAAAATTTTACCCACTAATTTTAGCATCCTTTGCTTTTTTTAAGCTGAATTATTACTAAAATGGTTGCTAAATGGTGACTTTTCTAATTACATTAATCCTTCTGCATTCATTACTTGACCTTCCACTCTACAGGAGCGTTCTCTTCTCTCCACATTTATTACATTCTTGTTAGTGGGTTATAATGCTCCAGATCTGGCCAGGAGCCCCTCGAGCTGGCTGCTTTTTCCGTTTTACATGTCCTTACCTGAGCGTTTTCCCACTTTCAGGCACAACAGTTGGTTTTGATATCTGGTAAAGCAAATCCTCATCTCATTATTTTCACTTAAAAAAAATTCTTGGGCATGAAGTATTTGGATTAATTTTATATTTAAAAAATAGTCATGGATTTTGACTGGAATTAGACTGAATTTATAGAGAACTGACATTTCAGAAGAACTGACATATTTCCATGATTGAATCTTCTTACTTAAGGAGCCTGTTTTATCTCTGTATGTATTTGTATCCTTTGGTGAAAATCTTACCCATTCCCTCCTAAGTTTATTTTTAGATATTTTGTAGGTTTTGTTGCCATCATGAATGGAATTTTTCCCCCCCTTTACATTTTCTAATTGGTTATTGCTGGTACAGTGGTTAAGAAGCTTTTGATTTAATCTTATAATCACCTACTTCCTATTAGTTTTAATGTTTTTACAATCGATTATCTTGGCTTTTCTAGGTAGACAGTTATATAACCTGCCAGTGATAACTTTTTATCACTTCATTTATAATATTTATACATGATTTCTTCTTTGTATGTTATCTCGCGGCTAAGATATCTGAGTGTGGGTGGGGAGGGGTGGTCTTGGGAATTCTTCTTGACTGATGTTACATTTAAGGGGCGTATCAAAGAATGTGCAACAGGTGAAACAAGGTGGTGGAGAATGTATTCCAGACAGGCTCGGGGGAGAGGAACAGTACGACAGTGTTCAGTGAATAGGTAGGATGGCTAGAGCATAGGAAACAAATGAGGTTGGGAGAAGCAGGAGATGGTTGGAAAGTAAATGGGGCACAGTCTGAAGCTGCTGGATTCTGAGAGCAATTACTTTATTCTAAAAGAAATGAGAATTTAATGAAAGGGATATTAGGTAGAATGGCCCCCCAAAGGTACCCTAATCCCCGGAATCTGTAAATATGTTACCTTACATGGCAAAAAGGACTTTGCAGATAAAATTAAGGCTATGGATCTTAAAATTGGGGGAGGGAGGAGGAAATTATCCTGGGTTATTTATTTATTTGTTTGTTTGTTTATGGTTAATCCTCACCCAAGGATATTTTTCCATTGATTTTTTTTTTTGGAAAATGTATTTTTATTGCTTTCAGAAAGGAAGGGAGAGGGAGAGAGAGATAGAAACATCAGTGATGAAAGAGAATCATTGATCAGTTGCCTCCCGCACACCCCCTACTGGGGATCAAGCCCGCAACCCAGGCATGTGCCCTTGACCAGAATTGAACTCGGGACCCTTCAGTCTGCAGACCAACACTCTATCCACTGAGCCAAACCAGCTAGGCCTCCATTGATTTTTAAAGAGAGTGGAAGGGAAGGGGAGAGACAGAGAAAGAGAACCATTGATGAGAGAGAGACACATTGGCTGGTTGCCTCCCTCACGTGCCCCAACTGGGCTGGGGATCAAGCCTACCCAAGGCCAGGGATTGAGCCTTGACTGGACTCGAACCCTAGACCCTTCAGCCTGCATGTGCTCACACGCTCTATCCACTGAGACAAACCGGCTAGGTCCCGAATTATCTATTTATTTATTTATTTAAATATTTTTATTGATTTCAGAGAGGAAGGGAGAGGGAAAGAGAGAGAGAAACATCAATGATGAGAGAGAATCATTGATCTGCTTCCTGCACGCCCCCTTCTGGGGCTCAAGCCCACAAGCCAGGCATGTGCCCTTGACCAGAATTGAACCCGGGACCCTTCAGTCCTCAGGCCGACGCTCTAGCCACTGAGTCAAACCAGCTAGGGCATGGATTATTTATTTTTTAATTGATTTTAGAGAGAGGAAGGGAGAGAAGAAACATTGATGTGAGAAACATTGATCGGCTGCCCCTGTATGCACCCCGACTAGGGATCGAACTGGAATTGAACCCGAAACCTAGGTATATGCCCTGAGCAGAATTGAACCCCAAACCTTTTGGTGTACGCTCCAGCCAACTGAGCCACTCCGGCCAGGGCTATCCTGGATTATTCAAGTGGGCCCCATCTAATCACAAGAGCTGGAAAAGCAAAAAAGTTTATCTGGCTGGTGGTAGAAGGGGAAGTTGGAGAGATTCAGAGTCAGAGGAACTTGACCTACCATGGCTGAGGGGGACCACATGGAAAACATGAGAAGGAATGCAGGAGCAAAGACTGTCTGACAGCTGGCAAGGAAACGGGACCTCGGCCCTTCAGCTGCAAGGAACTGAATTCGGCCAACAGCCTGAATGACCCTGGAAACAGATCCATCTCTTGTCTCCAGAAAGCCCTGCCGACTGCTTGGTTTTGGCCTTGTGAGATTGTGCAGAGGTCCCAGCTACAAAACTCAGAGAAAATAAATTTGTGTTACTTTAAGCTGCTAAATCTGTGGTACTTTGTTACAGCAGCAGCAGAATACTAATACTGAGGGGTTTAGGTAGGGAAGTAATGTCAAATTTTGTGTTATTAACAGACGACTGCTGTGCTGTGTGGAAAATGGATTTGGGAGAATGCAAATTTGGAGGCAGGGAAACTTGTCTTTGGGAATATAGTGGTCACAAGGATGGAGGGTAGTGATGGTGGGGAGGGGATATGATTTGATACTTATTTGGGAGGTTAGAATTACCAGAATTTGGTCATTGATTGGATGTCAGGAATGAGGGAGAGACAGGACACAGATGACTGCTGAGTGACTGGTGAAGCTGTCCTAGACACGGATGAGCAGGTGGGAACGTGCTGTGTCTTGAACTTACTGGTAATTCCAGGTTCTTCATTTGAAAATTCTTCTATAAATACTTATTTCAAGGTAGAGTATATCAGTAAGATGATTGCCTTTTCTTTTAAGACCTAAATTGGTTTTATTTTGTGGTTTTGTTTTTTAGGTCATGTAGGAAATTGTAAATCATGTGAAGATGGGACTCTTGGTGTTTGTGCGCAATCTGCTGCTAGCCCTCTGCCTTTTTCTGGTCCTGGGATTTTTGTATTATTCTGCATGGAAGCTACATTTTCTCCAGTGGGAGGACTCCAGTAAGTATGGTCACTCTAGCCTATCCCTCGAAAAGCCTGTTCCAGATCAGCGATGGGGTTTTCATGTCGCTGCAATGTTCTCAGATTCTTCAGAGATGGGCAGTGAGAGTAAACTAACAATTTCTGGGATTTAGGCTTAGAAGTTGACTACTTTTGTTACTGTAAGTTAAGAACTTACAAAAAAACAACAACTGCATGCCATGGCAAATTCTTATATGAACCCAGTGAAAAAGTGCTATTTTTCAATACAAACTAGAACTGTACTAGTACTTCTAGTCCTTGAATGTTGTCCTTAATTACTCTAGTGTATTGCTGCTTCCATTTGCCATTTATTGCCTTAGGGCTTGGTAGTGAAGTTGGTTTTCTTTTGCCCTTCGAACTTCATCTTTATCTTTTCCTTGAATTTTCAATTTAATATTGTCTTTGTTTTATTTTCCTAAAGAAGATCTGTCTACTTCATCTTTGTAGCCTTTGCTGGTCCTGAACTTGTGCTGGCTTTCCAGTCAATAACTCCTAATCCCTTTCTTCCATTTGTACCTCAGGCCTCATGTGTCACCCAGCATGTTCTGTATTCCTGCCTGAACCCTTCAGACTTGGTTTCAGTTCACCCGGTGTTGCCTGTGTTGTGGTTTAGGCTTGCAGTTGAAGGTTTGCACTGAGCAACACCAGCTTTGCACATTCTCTTTTTTGAACACAAGTAGTTTTCCTTTTGGTTCTTTGGTCTGAAGGCTTGTTGCAGGAAATACCAGGTAGTCTGTTCTGATTCCTAGTCAATGTCTCTTCTCTAAAGTAGTTTTATTTTCCCAAACATCTACCTGATAAAAGTGTAGAATTCACTTGAGAGTAGAGTTAGTCTCTCAATATGAGGTTAAAATGCGAGAATGAGTTGGAAGAGGCATCTGACAGTTGGCCTTAACATGGGAACTGTTCCTATGAAGTAGTTCACTTATTTCTCACATGGCCCAAACTAAGCCAGTTTTTAAAATAATAGTGTTATATCTTTATTGTTTTATATGGAATGTTTAAATGCCTTTTAACTGCTTAGCTTATAATTACCAGTAATTACCAGTAATTACTTTGTGTTTCCGGAGTTTACTTAAATTTGTGTCCCAACTTATTTTTAAAATCAAGGAGACTACCCACAATAAGGAGTGTTTATATCAGTGCAGTGCAAAAGTCTGTGGTTAGAGGCATTGTCTGTAGCCATAATGGATAAATTAATCTGTATCCATAAAATAGATGGAAACATGTGCAAGGGATGGGGGTCTCTATTTCCGATAAGCGCTACTGACCCGTAGAAGACATAATCAAGGATTAGATAATATTTTGCTGGAGAAGTTAAGAAAGATACTAACTTTATGGAAGACCTGTTGTTTGTCAGGCCCCATACATTTAATTTTATTTAATTTACTTCTTACTATAACCATATGAATATGCTATTATTATCTCAATTTTCCAGTTGAGCAAATGAAGTGTTTAGTTTCATTAGTTTATCTAAGTTACACAGTTAATGGCTGTTGGAATTTGTCAAATGCTTTTTCTGCATTTATTGTTATGATCATATGTTTTCATCCTTTAATTTGTTTATGTGGTGTATCACATTGATTTGTGGATATTGAACCAATCTTGCATCCCAGGAGTAAATTTCACTTGATTATGGTATATGATCTTTCTAATGTATTGCTGAATTAAGTTTGCTGATACTATTTTGTTGAGTTTTGCATCTATGTTCATCAGGGATATTGGCCTATAATTTTCTTTTTTTGTAGTGTCTTTGTTATCAGGGTAATGCTGGCCTCATAAAATAATTTTGGTAGCCTTTTCTCCTCTTTAATATTTTGGAATAGTTTGAGAAGGATAGTTTTTTTGTGAGTTTTTTTTTTTTTTAGAGATAGTAGGAGGGAGGAAGGAACGGGAGAGAGAGACACACACACATCAATTGGTTGCTTCCCACACATGCCCCGACTTGGGCACAGATGAGCCTACAACCAAGGTATGTGTCTTTGACCAGGAATCGAACCCAGGACCCTTCAGTCCATGGGCTGATGCTCTAACCACTGAGCAATCAAACAGGGTGAGAAGGATAGGTATTAATTTTTCATTGAACGCTTGGTAAAATTCTCTTGTGAAGCCATTTAGACCCTTATTTGTTGGGAGTTTTGATTACTCATTTGATCTTTTAATAATTATTGGTCTGTTCAGATATTCTGTTTCTTTCTAATTCAGTCTTGGAAGATTGTACAGTCCTAGGAATTTATCCATTTCTTCCACATTGTCCGATTTGTTGTCATAGTATTTTTTTAAAATAATGCTTTGTTTTCTGTGGTGTTGGCTGTCATTTCTCTTTCATTTCTGATTTTACATATTTGGGCCCTTTTTTTTCTTGATGAGTCTGATTAAAGGTTTATCAATCTTGTTTATCTTTTAAAAGAACCAGTTGTTTCATTGATCTTTTCTATTGTTTTTAAGTCTCTCCTTTGTTTTTTTTTCCCACTATGATTTTTATTATTTCCTTCCACTTACTTTGGGTTTTGTTTGTTCTTCTTTTTCCTTTATATGTAAGGTAAGATTTTTTTTTTTTTGGAGATTTTTCTTGTTTCTCAAGGTGGTAGGTCTGTATTGCTATGAATTTCTCTTTTAGAACTGCTTTGGTTGTGTCCCATAGATTTTTGAGATCATGTTTTCAGTTTTGTTTGTCTCAAGGTATGTTTATTTTCCTCTTTGATCTCATTTTTAATCTATTCATTATTTAGTAGCTTGTTATTTAGCCTCCATGTGTTTTTCAATTTTCTTCTTATGGTTGATTTCTAGTATCATATCATTGTGATCAAAGAAGGTACTTAATAGATTTTAGTCTTTTTAAATTTTTTGAGACTTGTTTTGCAGCCTAACATGCAGTCTGTCCTGGAAAATGTTTCTGTGCACTTGAGAAGAAGGTATATTCTATTGCTTTTGGGTGAGATGCTCTAAAATTATCTATTAAGTCCATTTGATCTAATGTGTCATTTAAAACTGCTCTTTCCTTAATTTTCTCTCTGGATGATCTATCCATTGATATCAGTGGGGTGTTACTGTCAATCTCTCCCTTTGTTTGTCAATGTTTATTTTATATACTTAACTGTTCCTACATTGCGTGCATAGTCAGAACAAATGTTTTACAACAGATTGAATTAGAAACTGGTGAAAATCCAAATTTCTTTTATTAACTTGTAAAAGAGATTTGCAGAAATGTAAAACTACTCTTTCCTACTTTTTCTGTTTTAGAAAAGTTATTTTTTCTATTGTTAATTTTAAATGAATTCATATTTTTAAAATGTTTTAATATAACAAATCCTATCTAATAAAGAGGGAATATGCTAATTGACTGCCCTGCCCTCAAAGATGGTGGCACCCACAGCCAATAAGGAGGGAATATGCTGATTGACTGACCCGCCCTCAAAGATGGCAGTGCCCACAGCCACAAGATGGCCAGCAGGGGAGGGCAGTTGTGGGCTATCAGACCAGCAGGGGAGGGCAGTTAGGGGTGACCAGGCCTGCAGAAGAGGGCAGTTGGGGGCGACCAGGCCGGCAGGGGAGGGCAGTTAGGGGTGACTGGGCCGGCAGAGGAGGGCAATTAGCAGTGACCAGGCCGGCAGGGAGGGCAGTTGGGGGTGACCAGGCCTACAGAAGAGGGCAGTTGGGGGCGACCGGGCCGGCAGGGGAGGGCAGTTGGGGCGATCAGGCTGGCAGGCAGGAGAGCGGTTGGGAGCCAGCAGTCCTGGATTGTGAGAGGGATGTCCGACTGCCGGTTTAGGCCTGATCCTATAAACCAGCAGTCGGACATCCCCTAAGGGGTTCCGAATTGGAGCGGGTGCAGGCTGGGCTGAGGGACACTCCTTCCCCCCCCCCACCCCCCCAGTGCACAAATTTTGTGCACCAGGCCTCTAGTATTAATAAAATCATCCATCCACTTACACAAACACTTTGGAGTCCTTAGTAAGTTTTAAGAGTGTGAAAGGGTCTAATATCAGAAATCTAAGAACCACTGTATTCTTGAGTCTTCAAAAAAGTGGAGTTCAGGGATTGGGGGACTTTCAGAAGTGAGAGTGTTTAGGGATTGGTTGACCTTTAGCTGTGGATTCCCAATTACATGAATAAGGCTGTTGTTGAATAGGATGACTTTCAAAACAGTAGTCACTGAAGTGAAGCTGTTGTTGATGGATTTGGTTGGGTTTTAAAGTAGTTCTGGTGGTTACTTTTTGCTATAGGAAAAAAACAATGTTCTTTTTGATGGTTAGCAACCTTTTATTCTCAATGGAAAAAATGGGAAAGAATAGAAGGCATAACTCTTATAATTCAACAATAAGAAGACAATCCAATTTTTAAAATGGGCAAAGGACCTGGATAGCCATTTCTCCAACAAAGATATACAAATGGTCAATAAGCACTTGAAAAGATGTCCAACATCATTAGTCACTAGGGAAATGCAAATTTGCAATGAGATACCACTTAACACCCACTAGAATTGTTATAATAAAAATGACAGATAATAACAAGTGTTGGCGAGGATGTGGAGAAATTGGAGCCCTCATACCCAGATCGTGGGAATGTAAAATGGTGTAGCCATTTTGGAAAACAGTCTGGCAGTTCCTTAAAAAGTTAAATATAGAGTTACCATTTGACCCAGCAGTTCCACTCCTAGGTATATAAACTCAAGAGAAATGAAAACATATGTCCACATTAAAACTTGTATGTGAGCTTTCGGAGAAGCATTATTCCTAATAGCCAAAAAGTGTAAATAACCCAATAGTCCACCAACTGATGAATGGGATAAATAAAAGTGGTATGTCTGCCAGCGATTTTCAACTGGTGTGCCATGGCAGGCATACTGGTGTGCCACAAGAATTTTTAAAACATGCAATACCTTACTATTTTTATCTCTTTTCCCTTAGATTGTCAAATAAAAAAATGAGAACAGCCAACACAACAATAGCTGTCGGTGTAACTGAATCAAAATTATA